TCCTCTCCTGGCATGCCTCCCTCTCCTCAGGCTTCCTCTGCTTCCCAAGATGATCTAAACTAACAGTCTGGGTGGAGGGGCTAAATAATTTTATCCTCCTCACCTCACCCCAACCCTCCCCTAGGTAAAAGATGAGAAAAATATTCAAGAGGTATTTGACCTGAGTGACTATGAGAAGTGTGAAGAGCTCCGGAAGTCCAAGAGCAGGAGCAAGAAAAATCATAGCAAGTTTACTCTTGCCCACTCCAAACAGCCCGGTAACACGGTATGTTTCTCCTGCCACCTTGGCCGCTGGAACATGGACAGGGTTGGAGGGGGCAGGGGAGAACTCCTTCCCCTCAACTTCTCTCAGCAATCTTGGCTCAGAGGCCCTGGATTGCTCTCCTGCTGGCTTTTATCATTTCACCTGAGAATATTGTGGCCATTTCCTTCTTTCCAGGCAGGCCAGCCTTTAACCTGTTCAGCCACAAAGATCATCTCTCTATATATCTCTTTATTTTTCTCTGTCTTATACACACACATCCACACATGTGCATATTTACATCCCTTAGAAGAAAATCCCTGTCCTTGTACCCTGATAGGTGGTTGAAGTTCTGAATCTAATTCATCTTGTCAGAGGGAACCCAGGGAAGTTACTCCTGTCACATTCTATTTCTTCAAACATTGAAAGATTTGTATTTTAATACCTGTCCTTCATCAGACTTCCTCTGATTATCTCCAATACCATATTAATACTCAGTATCCTTCTTAGCTCTTCCTTGGTCGTTTCTAAAACAACCTCCTAGCTATGCATTTTGCAGGAATAGAAGCTGGGTTTCCTTAAGTTATGGATGACTCTGGAAGCAGAATATCTCTCCTTCCCGGAGCTGGGTCTAAGAAAGTGAGATTATAATCTCTTATTTCTTCATCTCGAGGTGAGGCACCACCTCTAAAACCCTGGCTGAAACAGGAATCTTCCCCTCACAGGCACCCAACCTGATCTTCCTGGCAGTGAGTCCAGAAGAGAAGGAATCGTGGATCAGTGCCCTCAACTCTGCCATCACCCGAGCCAAGAACCGTATCTTGGATGAGGTCAGGGGGCTCACTGTGGGGAGAGGGAGGGAGGCTGGGGCAGAGGGAGCAGCTGTGACCCACTGAAGGGGGAGGATTATACGGGCCCCATTTACTCGCTCCCCCACCAGCTCTACTTCTTTACCTCCCTTTTAAAAACCTGATCTCTTTCTACCTTCTCTCCAAGTCTCTTCTGACACCTCCTCTTCCCCACTTCATGATGCGGGAGCCAGCCTTGCGTCAGCTTAAAGAGCCCCTTCGTGTCCAGTAAATCCCCTTGCCCATGGATTCATTCAGAAGCCGTGAATGGAATGGGCACGCGTTCAGGCCTCGGGATGCTGGGTTGGGACAAAGGTCGCTGAAGAGCACTCATGACTCACAGTACATCTCTTCAGGTCACCGTTGAGGAGGACAGCTATCTTGCCCATCCCACTCGAGACAGGGCAAAAATCCAACATTCCCGCCGCCCCCCAACAAGGGGACACCTAATGGCTGTGGTATGTAAGACTGTAATAAACATTGCCAAAGAGCCAATTCTGTGTCAGTCCATCTCAGACAGAACTGTATGCCACCAGAGGCATTTGTGGGAGGCCTCCCTGATGCCAAGATCAGAGGCGAGGGAAGTCCTTCCACCCCATGCCCCTGCCTGATCTAAATCAAAAGGATTTATTCAGCACCCATTAGGAGTTCAAAAGTCCTGGCTCCCAGTAATGTTTTTTCTTTTGGAGAAAATGAGTTTTCTCCAAAAGAAATGAGTTTTCTTTCTCCAAAAGAAATGAGTTTTCTCATTTCTTTTGGAGAAAATGAGTTATACCCACAGGAAAATGAAAACTAAGCTACTTTATGGTGACTGTCTTGATGGGTAACAGCATGTAGTAGTGCAGGCATTTGGAGGAGAAAGAATGACAGTGAATCCCTGAAACATACAAAGTGCTGGTTTCTTTCATGCTTCTGAGCTCTTAAGTCTTTAGAGAGAGAGGAAGGCAGGTATAGTGCAGAGAACACAGGCTTTGGAGTCCAAACCTGAGTTGGAACCTCACTATAATCAGCTACCTGTGTGGTTCCCTGAAGTTGCATGTCTTCAGCTGTAAAATGAGGCAGTAATCATGCCTGCCTTGAAGGGCTGCTATGAGGAATGACTAAAGCAGCATATGTGTAACTACATATTTGGTATTGACTACTCATCACTTTTAGTATTCTGGAAATAAGAGAAAAAATTTTGTAAGGCAAGGGGGCTGAAGTGTGGGGCTCATAGGATGCAGATGGAGGAGGACAGTCATTGTGCCATGGGGAGCGTCCTCTGTGTGTCAGACCCAGTTTAATGCTGAGAGTCCACAATACTGAGGAAGAGGACGCCCCTCAGGAAGCTTGTGGTAGAATGGAGAATACAGGAAACAAGCAACAGAAAGTAAATGACAGAAAAAGAAACATTCAAGTCACTATCAAAGGAATAAGAAACAGCACATTCAGTAGGAGGGTTCAGTCAAGAGCAGAGGGCTTTGCCAGGCAGGGTTGCTCACACCTATAATCCCAGTACTTTGGGAGGCTGAGACAGGTGGATCACTTGAGATCAGGAGTTTGAGACCAACCATGGCCAACGTGGTAAAACCCTGCCACTGCTAAAAATACAAAAAAAAAAAAGCCAGGCGTGGTGGTGCGTGCATGTAATCCCAGCTACTTGGGAGGCTGAGGTAGGAGAATCACTTGAACCACAAGGTGGAGTTTGCAGTGAGCCAAGATTATGCCACTGCACTCCAGCCTGGACGACAGAGTAAGACTCTGTCTCTAAAAAAACTACTACTCATTCAGGGAAGGCTTGTAGAGGAAAATGACCACAGCTTGCATCTTTTAGGCAGTCATTCTGAAAATCCCTCCTGAAGACAGCTTTCCCCTCTCATTTCCCCCTTGCTCCACAGGCTTCCACGTCTACCTCGGATGGAATGCTGACCTTGGACCTGATCCAAGAGGAAGACCCTTCCCCTGAGGAACCAACCTCTTGTGCTGAGAGCTTTCGGGTTGACCTGGACAAGTCTGTGGCCCAGCTGGCAGGGAGCCGGCGGAGAGCAGACTCAGACCGCATCCAGCCCTCCGCAGACCGGGCAAGCAGCCTCTCCCGACCTTGGGAAAAACCAGACAAAGGGGCCACCTACACCCCCCAGGCACCCAAGAAGTTGACACCCACAGAGAAGGGCCGCTGCGCCTCCCTGGAGGAGATCCTGTCTCAGCGGGACGCTGCCCCTGCCCGCACCCTCCAGCTCCAGGCTGAGGAACCCCCATCCCCTGCCCCCCCGCACCCGGGGCAGCTGTCCCGGATCCAGGACCTGGTAGCAAGGAAACTGGAGAAGACTCAGGAGCTTCTGGCAGAGGTTCAAGGACTGGGAGATGGGAAGCGAAAGGCCAAGGACCCCCCTCGGTCTCCGCCGGATTCTGAGTCAGAGCAGCTGCTGTTAGAGACGGAACGGCTGCTGGGAGAGGCGTCATCAAATTGGAACCAGGCAAAGAGGGTGCTGCAGGAGGTCAGGGAGCTGAGAGACCTGTACAGACAGATGGACCTGCAGACCCCCGACTCCCACCTCAGACAGACTACCCCGCACAGTCAGTACCGGAAGAGCCTGATGTGAGGGCGGGGTGGGGTCTGGAATTCGTTGGGTTGGACAGACTCTTATCTCCGTGTGGCTGGATAAAGCTTTTTTATTTACCTCAATCAAAAAAAGAAAAAAATGAGCTCATTGCTCTTGCTGATGCCTGACCCCACTACAACCCTTGTTTCCCCTCCTACTTTCCGTATCCCCTTCAGGTTTGAGGAAGTGACCCTGTAGCAGTAGTAGGAAGTTTTTACCCAGCCAGAGAGAGAGAAGGTGCAGAAAAGACATAGTCTGATCACTCCACACACCGCCTGCCCCCAAGACGGCACGGGGAGTCCACTGCTGCTCCCAAGGATACAGTGGGCTTCTAAGCTTAGAGCAGGAGGGGGACGAGGGCGTTTTCTATGTCCCACCCCAGGCAGTCAGTTTGAGGGTGAAGTTTCAGCTGCCCTACTCTAGTTGTAGGGATGTGGAGGCCATTGCCACCTGTCCGTGAAATTTATCCCAGCCCCGAGGAGGATTTGTGGAATTAAAATCTTCCCCAGCCAGACACTGGCTTCTCTTTCCTAGCAGTCTCTGGTTGAGATCCAGCTGCCTGGATTTTCTTACATGAGACATTTCTTCCCTTCATCTTCCATACCCTTCCCAACATTGACTCAAAGATCCAACTTTGTCGGGCATAGTGGCTCATGCCTGTAATCCCAACACTTCGGGAGGCCAAAGTGGGTGGATCACCTGAGGTCAGGAGTTTGAGACCAGCCTGACCAACATGATGAAACCCTGTCTCTACTGAAAATACAAAAAATTAGCCAGGCATGGTGGTGGGTGCCTGTAATCCCAGCTATGCGGGAGGCTGAGACAAGAGAATCACTTAAACCTGGGAGGCAGAGGTTGCAGCAAGCCAAGATCATGCCATTGCACTCCAGCCTGGGCAACAAGCAAAACTCCATCTCAAAAAAAAAAAAAAAAAAGATCCAGCCTTGGGTGGATGAGACTAGTTTCATTATTTGATTCAGGGCCCTAGCACAGGGGAACTAGAGACAGATCCCACAGAAGAACTGAACTAAGAATGAAACTGATTTGTGATGCAAGCTGGGTAGGATGTAGGGGAAAACCAAACATGTGTCCAAGTTCCTCTTTCGGCCAAGCTAAGGTTTCCTGTAGCCTCCCCACTCTCCTTCATCAAACCTCTTCTATCGCTAAGCAAGCCCCCACTTCAGAAAAGCATCTGGATGCCCACACCAGCACCCTCCCAGCCACCCTGAAGTTGACAGGCTTCCCAACATTCTTGCCTATGGTAGGTCCCACACAACTCACTGTTCGCTCCTCCTCAGAAGTGTGTGAGATCAGGTATAGTAACTGGTGAGGTCCCGAGAAGAGCTGTGAAGGGAATAATTTGATTTTGGGAAAGAAGGGGACAGAGCCTCATGAATCAAGTAAATGGAGGGTTAAAAACCACTTTGAAGTGTGCCCTGCTAGCTGCTTGATCCTCCAAGAGCAGCGGGGCTTCACTAGAGATGGGGGGAGGCGGAAACGGGGCCAAGTTGCATATAGACCTGGCCATGAAGCTACCCCGATGTTAGGAAGATGGGATAGGAGGAAGAGGGGGGAAAACCCTGTGAGAGAAACAGACCCTTCAATCCCCATTCTTCTGCTCTGATGTCACTCCTACAACCCATGGAAGCAAAATGGTGTGGGCGGGGGGGGTTCTCTCCCCTTCTTTCCAGAAATCATCTCTTTCCTTCACAACTCTTCTCTGGACCTTATCACTGCTATTAAACCATCCCTAGGGCAGAGGAATTCTTGTTCTCTCTAGTCCCTTGCCACTCTGTCGTGGAGATTTTCCCCAGCTTTAGACTGTAGTTACCTAGCCTCTTCCTTGAGGAATGTGTATCCCAGTTGAGTAAGGGAAAGCGTGCAAGAGTGCCACCTTCATGTCTCTGTGGTCTCCTGGGGTATGAGGTGAGGACCCAGGCTTCCAGACATCCTGTCCTCCAAATAGCTACACTCTCCACGACCCTGAGCATGGTCAGCAGAGCCATCTGCTGTCACAGGTATTGAAGTCTAAGCTAGAATTATGCTTTCTTTTTACAAGTCTCTATCTTTGTATTTTGCCAGCATTTTTCTGTTTTTTCTTCCTTGTTGCTCCCACATAATGAGGAAAGAAGACAAAAGCACAAATGACATATGTATCCCAACATGTCAATTATCTGTGGCTCCCAGGGGAGCCAGAAGATGGAGGGAGACACTAGAGAGGAGAGTGACAGGTGAGGGAAGCAGAAAAGAAAGATCGGGGACCTCTCGACAGTAAGAGAAGAGCTGGGCACCGTGCTCCCGGCTTCAGGCTCCAAAACCAACAGCTTCCAGTTCTCCAACAGTTACTGGAACATCCAGGCCATTGGGTGGTGAAATGAGCCCAGCTTTGAAACCAGATGAATCTGGATTCAAATTCTAACTCTGTTAATTCTTGATTATGAGGCCCTGGGCAAGGCACATGCTTTCCAAATATTAGTTTTTTTCATCTGCAAGCTGCAGAGGTATTGGATAGGTGAGGACAATATGGAAAATGCCTGTCAGAAAGTAACCGCTGCAGCTACTGTTACTGGTTTGACTCTGGGCAGTGGGCCGCTAGCTCAGGTGGAAGGAGCACAGTGTGAATGAGGCCGCTGGTGTGGGGTCAGTCACTGTCACTTAGCTAGATCCAGGCCACAGGCTGTGCCCAACCTCTCTCTTCAGAGGAGAGAGCACACCAGGTACTGTGCTGAAGCCTAGAGCCAGAAGAGGGGATGAAAGCATCATCCCTGGTCTTCAAGAACTTTAGAGCTTAGCATGGAGCCAGGCTTGCCACTAGAAAAATTGCTTAAGGTGCACCCTTGTGGTAGGCTGCTGGCATGAGTTCTGTTGAGGAAGCATTTGTGTTGAACCTGGGCACTGTGACAGGAGGATGGGAAGGTGCTTATGGTTTATTTCCCTTCCTCCCAGCGCCTCTCTTCCCTCACTCCATCATTCCAGCCCCTCTGCCTGTGGTATTTCCCTTCGTGCCCGCAGTAACTGTGATGCGTGGCAAATGGGTGGCTCCGTAGCTGTGTGGGGCAACTTTCTCAGCACACAGCTGCCCTGAGACGCTTTCAGGGTGCACTTATTCTCCCTCCCTTCCTCCTCCCAACTGCTCTGCTCCCTTCTCTTCTTACACAGATGAAGCAAAGGGAAGCACCCTCTGGAGGCCCAAGGATGGGGAGACGGGGGGAACCCAGGACACAGAGGTGAGATGGGGTGCGGGGTAGAGGCAGGTAAAGAACGAAATCTTAATTCGCATTTCAATGACATTTTCCTCAACTTTTCCTGTCCTTCCCCATCAGGTTGTTAGCCAGGGGCCTGAGGAGGGACGAAGGAACTGCAGTCCCGGCTCCCTCTGTCAGGAAGAATGTCTGGGGTGTTGGCCTGGAACGCTGATGAGTTGATTTCCTGCTATTTCCACAGCATAGGTTGACCAGGGAGAAAAGAAAAGTGCAAATTTCTGTAACTCCTGCCCTGCTTCTCACAAACCATGCGGTGCTGAGCCTAGAGCTCTGTCCCTGAGGAAACAGCTCTCGCCTCCTTCGCCAGCCACTCTCCCAACCTCTCTGCCAGTAGTAAATTTGCCTCATTCTCCCAGGAATTGAGTCTCTAAGAATCTCTCCCCTATCTAAACCTCACAGGCAAGCAGTCCCAGCTCCCTTCTGCAACCCTCAGGCTCGGCGACTGCCCCCCATCCCCCACTTCGTCACTCCCTTCCCTACGCTGGGTTCCTTTCTCTCTGCTTTCTTACTACCTCCCTGTCTCCCAACAGAAGCAGCCAATCCCCAGCCTGCTCTAGAGCCACGCCATATATGGAGAGGTTGGAAAAAACCCGAGTAAATGCAGGAGCGAACACACACACACACACACACACACACACAAAATCATACACGTTCATGCACACACTCATGCACACACATACACGCACACAGCAGAGTTTGACCGCCTTTCTGCACGTGACCCTGTGTCTGTCTCTGTGTGTGACACAAGTCCCACCGTTCCTCCCCCGGCTCACCCCCCCCCCAAAGAATGAGGAGCCTGTTTGCTATTCCCCACCTTTAGTCATGCCCCAGGAGACCATCACTCCAACCCGTTGCCTCTGACCTAGATTCCTTGCACTAATTACAAGCCTAACGAGATCTAACAAACACCCAACTTAGCACAGCTGAGATCCTCGAGGTCAATTAGTGCAGCCCAGCTCTGCTCAGGAAATGAGAGATAGAGCCAGAAAGTCTTGTACATGGCCCACCCCAACCTCACCCCAACCCTAGGGTTGGAAGCAAGGATGGGGGGAATGCAAAAATTAGCAGGACCAGTTTAAAAACGTGATTTTGGAGGCTTAATAAGTATGGAGAGCACACTTGTTAAGTGCATTGAGGTTGGGGAGCAATTGGAGAATACAGATTCCCAACTCCTCCGAACTATCAGAAGTGTAGATGCTGGTGCAGCTACAGAAACCATGGACATAAGGCGGCTTTCATAAGGACTTAATATGAGGAAAAGGAACTCATAGAAAAGCAAGTAGCACTAGAACTCTTGACCTGTGTCATGGTCTCCGACGCCGAATCCCTTCTCCTCTTTACTTCCTGCTATGGGCAAGTTGGGGTTATCACCCCTGTCCTTCCTGCTGGTTTGGGACGGCTCAGAAATCACCCCTTTCTTTCAAAAATACTAGTCTCATGGCCGTTCTTGCTTTCCCTTCTTCCAGATATTAAAGCCATGACAGCAAACAGCCCCTTTCTCCTAAGGTTCCTGACTTCAGGTGGCAAAACAAGCCAATGGCATAGTCTCCTGTCCTATGTCCTTGGCATGCAGGTCAGTTGTCCTAATACCGTCCCTAATGTTTTTGGCTCTATCAAGGTTGGGAGGCAGGGAGGAGAACACTAGTGGAATGCTCTGTGCACAAATAGGGAAGTGGACTCAAAAACACAATATTCCTCTTCCCCCAGCCTCCACCCAGCTCTGGCTGCAGAGGGCCGCACTCCGCCATTACTGCGCCTCATACACAGTCCAGACTTATACAGCAGCTGGAAACCCTGAGGGCAAGACGATTCCAAGAAGTACCCAATCTGTATGTTGATATGTTGTCCCAAATTTATTTCTCCAGCCTAAATTTCCCTCTCTAGCACTTAGAGCTAAGTGCCAACTTGACATCTTTACCTGGGTATCTAACATGTATCTTAAATGTACAATAAATGTAATAGATGACTAAATAATGATCCTCAGTGAACCAGCCCCCCTCCACGCTCCTTTGCAATATGAGTTCGCTGTTTCTCCCTTTTGAGTTGCTCTCTCTTCAACTGCTGCTTGAATCTGGGTTTGCCGATGACTTGTTTTGCCCAATAGAACAAAGAACATGTACCGTGTACGTTCCAGCGCCTAGGCCTTAAAGGGTCTTGTAGTTTCCACACTTTTACTCTCTTAAAAGTCAGGTGCTTATAAGAAGCCTGGGCGAGCATCCTTGCTATGAGACCATGAAACCACATGGATATGTCCCAGCATCCAAGCCTCCAGTCAGACACAGCTGGAGCAGCACACAAGCAAGACCAGAGACTAGCTGCTCAGTCAGCCCCCAGAACTGTGGGAAACTAACAAACCATTGCTGTCTTAAGTCACTAGGTTTTGGGGTGATTTGTTACTCAGCAATAGATACTAGAACAAAGATTGTTTCTGGGAAGTGGGATGCTGCCCTCACTAAAACCTGAAACAAATGGCGTTGATCTTAGGACCCAGCAGCAGACAGCCTAGAAGGGCAGCAAGGATACTGTTCCAGAGTCTGGATGAACAGGGAGAAAACTGCTCTCAGAGACGGGAGAAAGACCACCCGTGTTATATGGTGGTAGAATCATTCACAAAACCGTCACCTGTGGTGTCTTGGGAGCTAGAAAATATACCTAATAAATTTGTTGGAGGTAGCTAAAGAGACTTCCAGGCAGAATGTTAGAAGTAGCAACAGGCCTTTCTTAGCTGTGATTGATAAGGTATTGCAGGAAACAGGAACTGAAAAAGGAACTTTTCAGTTTGCAAGCAGAATTTGATGGAAAGATAATAGAGCCCAGAACAGTCTCCAGCAAGAAAAACTTTCACCGGTGGTAATTTATGAGAATGAGCTAATGGCAGGGACCACCTGGCCAGTGAAACGATTCAGGCCTTTGAAAAGTACAGAGGTAAATTGTACCCCATAAGGATGTGCAATTACAGTGTGTCCATTTTTAAAACACACCAAAAATGCACAGGAGAACAAAGCACACAATGACAAAGGAATTGGCTGTTACTCAGCTGCACTGGTATCGTACAGAGAGAAGGAAAGGCCGTTAGCAAACAACTGAAACTAAGTGTGAGGGCCAGGGGCTTCTTTGGTAGCAAAGGGATCGCTTGCAATGGAAGAACAGTAAAAGATAGAACTCAGAAATTGATAGCAACCAGGAGCTTCAAAAACTAACACCCCACTGAGGCTGAGGCAGGCAGCTAGAACCCTTAGCCAAGGTAGATCCGCCCTGTCAAGATCAAGGCCCTGGCTGAAAAAACTTGGGCTAGGATTCCAACACACAGAATGGGGACATCTGGTACGTTGGATGGTGGAGATCCCTGAAAATTTTGGTTCCCAGAATCCTCTGACCCCACATACCCTGCTAAGAGGACCCACCCCTCTCTGTTAAGAGCCAGCACCACCTGCTGCCCAGGAAAGGCAACACAGAGATCTCTCCCTGAAACATAACAGGAGTGTCCCTCCAGATCGGCCCCAACTCCTCTTCTGGCTGCCAGAATAACTGAGCATAAGTCACAACGTAATTCAGAGCCAAGAACGTGCTGGGCCTTACAAGGAAGAAAGGAACTAAACCCAGCATGTAGGAGCAGGAGCAGGGGAGGTGCCTATGGACCTAGAATGTTTTTTGTTTTTTGTTTGTTTTTTTGTTTGTTTTTTGATATGGAGTCTTGCTCTGTCCCCCAGGCTGGAGTGCAGTGGCACTATCTCTGCTCACTGCAACCTCTGCCTCCTGGATTTAAGTGATTCTCCTGCCTCAGCCTCCCCAGTAGCTGGGATTACAGGCAACACTCCACCACGCCCAGCTAATTTTTTGTATTTTTAGAGGAGATGGGGTTTCACCATGTTAGCCAGTATGGTGTCAATTTCCTGACCTCGTGATCAGACCACCTCAGCCTCCCAAAGTGCTGGGATTACAGGTGTGAGCCACCACTCCCCACCTGTTTTTTTTTTTTTTTTTTTTTTTTTTGACAGTCTCCCTCGCTCTGTCACCCAGGCTGGAGTGCAGTGGCACAATCTTGGCTCACTGCAACCTCCGCCTCCCGGGTTCCAGTGATTCTCCTGCCCCAGCCTCCCGAGTAGCTGGGATTACAGGCACCTGTCACCACGCCCGGCTAATTTTTGTATTTTTAGTAGAGACGGGGTTTCACCATGTTGGCCAGGCTGGTCTCGAACTCCTGACCTCAAGTGATCCACCTGCCTCATCCTCCCAAAGTGTTAGGATTCCAGGCGTGAGCCACTGTGCCCAGCCGGACCTAGAGTTTTGAGAATATCAGAATAGAAACCTGGATAAGAAAGTTTATTAATTTGGGGGCACTTTCTTGGGATACAGGATTTACACTCCAGCAAGGACCCCACAAAATAGTTCAGATATATGAATATTAGTGTGCTCCTAAAAGCCTTGAAAAAGTAATAACCCATGCAGCACAACTGAAATGCTTGAATTTCAATGCTTCCTCCACATCAGCAGTGGAGGAAGAAATTTGAAAGTTTAGGAAAGTAGATGTGTTGGAATGTATTATTTGAGGTCTAAAGACTCACCATGGGATTATGTTCCATGGAAGACACACATCCTTTACTGCGGCATTGGTGAGGGTGGTACCAGCATCAATAAACAAAATGGGAGATGTACAGACAGTGGGGCCTCCCCTCCGTAGGCCAGGGATGAAGATAGGAGAGGTCATAACAAAGCTGAGATTATTGATAGCAATGGAAATAACCAATCCCCTCCCCAGTGCCAAGCAATAAAGGCCAGGTGGCAACAATAGAAGCCAGGAGGTCACAATTCTCTTAATGACCAGCAAAGTCAAAGAGCCGGTCAAGACCAGGTGCGGTTCATGCCTGTAATCCCAGTGCAAGGTGGGAGGATCACCTAAGGCCAGGGATTCATGACCAACCTGGGCAACATAGTAAGACCTGTCTCTAAAAAAAAAAAAAAAAAATTTTTTTTTTAATTAGCCAGGCATAGTTGCATGTGCCTGTAGTTCCAGCTACGTAGGAGGCTGAGGTGGGAGGATCTCTTGAGCCCAGGGGTTGGAGGCTGCAGTGAGCCTCCTAGGCTGGTGCCATTGCACTCCATCCTTGTGACAGAGTGAGACTTTGTCTCAATAAATAAATAAATAAATAAGTCAGTCAGTCAAGGGGAAATTAAGTTGATTACTAGAACATGATATCCCTAGGGATAAAATTAACAGCCAACAAGGGCAAATCAAACAAATGCAAGAATAGGCTGAGCACAGTTGCCCCCGTAAAAAGTCTTGAAGTAGAGAAATTGGAAGCCTTGTGCAGTATTGGTGGAAATGTAAAATGGCGAGCTGCTGTGGAAAACAGTCTGAGTGTTCCCAAAAACTTAAAAATGGAATTACCATATGATCCAGCAATCCCACTTCAAAAGTATTGAAAGCAGGGTCTTGAGATATTTGCACACCCATATTCACAGCAGCATTATTTACAACAGCCAACAGGTGGAAGCAACTCAAGTGTCCATTGATGGATGAAAGAATAAATAAAATGGGAAATGTACATTATTCAGCCTTAAAAAGGAAGGAAGTCCTGTCACATACTACAACATGAGCCTTGAGAGTATTATGCTAACTGAAACACACCAGTCACAAAAAGACAAAAATACTGTATGATTTTATTTATGTGAGACATCTAAAGCAGTCGGATTCATAGGAACATAAAGTAGGATGGTGGTTGCCAGAAGCCAGGGGCAGGGAGAAATTTGGAGTTGTTGTTTAATGGGTATGGGGTGTCAGTGTTGCAAGATGAGCAGCTCTAGAGCTCAGCTGCACAACACTGTGAATATACTTAAAACTGTGGAACTGTACACTTACAAATTGGTAAGGTGATCAATGTTTTGTGTGTGGTTTTCTTCTTTTTTGGGGACGGGGTCTCACTCTGTTGCCCAGGCTGGAGTGCAGTGGCACTGTCTCTGCTCACCGCAACCTTGACCTCCTGGGTTCAAGTGATCCTCCCACCTCAGCCTCCCAAGTAGCTAGGACTACAAACATGCACCACCACACCCAGTTTAAAATGTTATGTTTTTATCACAATTTAAAATAAAATATATGTTTTAAGAACACTGAAAAAAAGTAATGATTCCTTCTCATTTCCTAGACCTGCAACATTTTTCAGACCTGAAATGGAAAATGCGGCAGAGTCCCCAAGAGGAAGGTCCCTGCAACATCACAGCAAGTGTGCACTGTAATAATTCCACCAGTCCTGGCTGACCGTCACCTGGGAGAGGAGGAATATCCAGACATGTTGAAGACTACTAGACACAGGGCCTGAATGGCACTGATATTCAAAGACCCGAAATGTCATAATGGCCCCTGTTACAATGATGGGCTATAGGTCAGGTAAAATGGGGATTCTGGCTGATGTCCAGCTTCGAGTGGGTCCACCAGGGCTCTGGCCACACCTGGTGGTCATTGCCCCAGTCCCTGAATGTATAACTGGGATTGGTATATTCAGCAGTTGGGGAAGCCCCCATGTGGGGCCCCTGCTTTATGCTATAAGAGCTATCATGGTGGGGAAGGTCAGTGGAAGCCTCTGAAATTGTGTCCCTCTCCCCTTCACCCAGCCAAGATAGCAAATACAAAATAATATCTCATGCCAGATGGAAGATAGAGATCATTGCCACCCTTAAGTACCTCAAGGATGCAAGGATCGTGGTCTGTATCATACCTCTGTTTAATTCACCAGCCTGGCCCCTGCAGAAAACACATGGATCCTTGGAAATAACCCTAGACGATTCCCAGCTCAGCTCAAGCCTCGAGTGATCATGCTGGGTGTGGTATCATAGCTAGAATATATAAATATGGCTTCAAGTACATGACATTTGGCCATTGATTTGGCAAATTCACTCTTCTTTATCTCGATCAGGAAAGAGAATCAGAAACAGCATTCACATGGACTGGATCACAATATTCATTTAGATTCCCCCCACCCCTAGGGTTGTTGTTAACTCTCCCAGTCTATGTCATGATACATTCAGAAAAGATCTAGATCATCTGGACTTCCCACAGAATATCACAATGCTCCATTCATCAATGACATTAGGCTAATTTTGGAGAATAGCAAGAGGTGGCTGGCACCTGAAAGCCTCAGGAAGACACATGCAGTCTAGAAAATGAGACATAAACTCTCTGAAGATTCCAGGACTTGCCCCTTCCATAAAGTTTTTTGGAATCCAGTGGTCAAGGGCATACTAGGTCATTGCCTATGAAACAAAAGACAAAATGCTGCATCTTGCATGCACAAAGAAGGAACTACAATGCCTGGAGGGTGGCCGGGCGCGGTGGCTCAAGCCTGTAATCCCAGCACTTTGGGAGGCCAAGACGGGCGGATCACGAGGTCAGGAGATCGAGACTATCCTGGCTAACACGGTGAAACCCCGTCTCTACTAAAAAATACAAAAAACTAGCCGGGCGAGGTGGCGGGCGCCTGTAGTCCCAGCTACTCGGGAGGCTGAGGCAGGAGAATGGCGTGAACCCGGGAGGCGGAGCTTGCAGTGAGCTGAGATCCGGCCACTGCACTCCAGCCTGGGCGACAGAGCGAGACTCCGTCTCAAAAAAAAAAAAAAAAAAAAAGACCAGCAGAAATGACAGTGGTGTCATCTCTAGCAGAGAGGGAGAGTGGAATTTAGAATGGATAATGGAGGAGGGAAATGATGTTACCTATTGCAAGACCAACTGCAGCAACAGCCTGTGGTTACCCCACTGACCTCCCTTATCTAAGTCCCTTCAAGAAAAGAGCCCACTGAAACCCCGGAAGAGCTACCCCTCGACGTATGTGGAAATGTCGATCCACATGGTACAAAAGGAAGACTGTGGTAGCCATGAAGGTGCCTCACCTGGATTTGTCTTCAAGAAAGAACTTGCTGGACAACTGCAAGGAGGACAGTTAGCTGTCAGCCCCAGCTGTTAGTGCTGAGGGATCTGTCTCAGTTTTCCAACCAAGGCACACTCCTCTCATCAGGCCCTGGCCAGTGACTGAACAGAGTAGAGGGGCTCTTAGGGCCTGGACATTTCTGCCCTATGCGAACCCCTCTAATGAAACACATTTGCTCTGGAGTTCCCCAATATGTTGCCCAAGATTCTATCTGCATTTCAGTCTGAGGCTCTCCTTGCTGAACCCTGCTTCCTGTCCCCTCTCACAGGCACTCCCTTTTAGGCCTCTTACACTCCTCATTCAGCATCTGCTTCCCAGAGGAGGCAGCTGACAAACCTTTCTTCCTCTTGCCTACCCCATCCCCAACATCTGGAGTCCATCAGCAAGGCTTTTTGGTTCTACCTTAAAGCATAGCTGGAAGATGACCATTTCTCCATCTCTCCTCAGCCAGCTCCTTCCCTACATAGTCTCCTGGTGAGGTCTCCCTGCCTCCCCTCATTCCCGTTCAGCAGCTGGAGTGTCTTCTTGTATGTGTGTGGGTGTTTTTGTTTTTGTTTTGTGTGTGTGACAGAGTTTTGCTCTTGTTGCCCAGGCTGGAGTGCAATGGCTCACTGCTACCTCCGCCTCCCAGGTTCAAGCGATTGTCCTGCCTCAGCCTCCCAAGTAGCTAGGATTACAGGTATATGTGCCACCACGCCCAGCTAATTTTGTATTTTTTTTTTAGTAGAGACGAGGTTTCTCCATGTTGGTCAGGCTGGTCTCGAACTCCCGACCTCACGTGATCCGCCCACCTTCACCTCCCAAAGTGCTGGGATTACAGGTGTGAGCCACTGCGCCCAGCCTGGAGTGTCTTCTTAAAGCAGTTCATCTCACTTGCCTACTTAAAACCACCCTAACTTCATGTCACTCTTAAAAATCCAAATATTTTCTCTGGCAAATAAAGCCCTTCTCTGCCAAACACAGTGGCTCATGCCTGTAATCCCAGCACTTTGGGAGGCTGAGGCGAGCAGATAGCTTGATCCCAGGAACTTGCCCCAGCCCTGGGCAACATGACAAAACCCCATCTCTACTAAAAATACAAATAAATAGCCAGTCATGGTGGCGCACACCTATTGTCCCAGCTACTTGGGAGGCTGAGGTGGGAGGATCACTTGAGCTGGGGAGGTCGAGGATGCAGTGAATCGAGATTGTCCCACTGCACTCCAGCCTGTGCGACAGAGTGAGACCTTGTCTCAAAAAAGAAAAAGAAAAAAAAAACGACCCCCCTTCCTCTGACTCATGCATATCTCCAACCTTATCCCCAGGCCAGACACACAGATCTCTTCTCTGTTCTGTACATACACCAAGCTCTTTCCCACCTCAGGGCCTTTGCCTTTGCTATTCCTTCTGCCTAAATACCCTTGTTCTCTTTTTTAACTTCTTTATTCAAACATCAGTTCTTAGGCGCCTTCTCTGGCCACTCTGTCTTGAGAGGCACCCCTTCCAACAGAATTGTTACCTTATCATTCTGCTTCCCACACAACAATGACCACAGTCTAATTATTCTCCTCAGTTGCCTCTTTATTTTCTCTCTCCCTGAGTAGAATAGAAGCCCCCACAGAGCAGGGCCCTGACTTATCTCCCCAACACCTAAATTCAATATTTATTTGTGTAATGAATGATTGAAGAAAGCCTTACCTAACACATGTACCTCACCACATTATCTCCACCATTTAGTTCCATCGTAATAAAAGTAATACCTTTTGATGGTCCTTTACAGTTTTAGATACCATGTTCTTGTTTGCTATCAATAGCTCTCTCACACATACACTATTTAATTTTTGATCTTCATAATTAACCCTGTGAAGAAAATAGGACAAGTATGATCCCCAAATTAAGGATTAGAAAAATTGAAGCCGGCCAGGTGCGGTGGCTCACACCTGTAATCCCAGCACTTTGGGAGGCCGAGGCAGGTCAGGAGTTTGAGACCAGCCTGGCCAACATGGTGAAACTCCGTCTCTACTAAAATTACAAAAAAAAAAAAAAAATTAGCCAGGCGTGGTGGCGGGCACCTATAACCCCAGCTACTCGGGAGGCTCAGGCAGGAGAATCGCTTGAACCCAGGGGGCGGAGGTTGCTGTGAGTTGAGATGGTGCCATTGCACTCCAGCCTGGGCAACAGAGCGAGAATCCGTCTTAAAAAAAAAAAAATGAAGCCGAGAGACGTAACCAAGCTAGAAAGTGTCAAAAAGCGTCAAAATCTAAATCTAAACGCAGTGATGTCTGACCCCAACTACCTGGAGGCAGGCCAGACTTCAGGGGGTAAGGAACAGTCCTCTACCAGGCCACCCTCACTTCAGACACCAGTAGCCAGTTCAGGGTTTGGTTCCACTATCCCCGCAGGTTTGATAATTTGCTACAATGACTCACAGTACTCAGGGAAGCACTATACTTATGACAAATTACTTAAACTTTTTTTGCAGCAAAAGGGTACACATCAGAACCAGCCAAGGGAAGAGATCCAGAGGGCAAAGTCTGGGAAGAGCCACACGGGAAACTTTGGACACCTTCTCCTGTGAAATTCCAGACATCACTGCCCCTCCCAGCTATGAGGTGTGACAGTGCTTGCGAGTGCTGCCACCAGGAAAGCTTGCCCAAGTCTTTGGTGTCCAGAGCCGTTGCTGGAGCTTGACCACATGCTGCCTGCATGACTGACCTTTGCTCTCCAGTCCCTATGGGGGCTGGAACTGATACGGCGTGTTTCAAAGCCCCCATTATAAATCACATCATTCAAGCATATGGTGGCCAAGCTCCCGAGGCAAACAATGACATTCCTATTGGGCAGGACATTCCAGGGGCCTAGAGATCATCTCCCAGTAGCCGAGGGCCACAGCCAGTCCTCTCTGAGTAAAAATCAATTCACTACACAGGGGAGTTGTACTCCTTTGCTTTTTTTTAAATTCAAGATCAAGTGCTCCAAACACACTGTTCTGTTTAATCTTTGCCTCTTCTTTGACCTGTTTCTTCTTTTTCCGAGTTGGCTTCAGGTCACATGTTGCTCTGGAGAACCGAGAAGGGTGAGCAGACACCAATCATGACCCCAAACAGCAAGAGGACAGAAGTAAGTGAAGTCTTTATTATCAAGCAAGGAATATGCCGTTTACAAAGGAAATTATTATAAATAATAATTTATATCAGTAGTAAGGAAAAGACCAAAGCAATGCCGGGCAGTGACGTCAAAGTAACATAATACTGAAATCTACTTGGCATTCTCTGATAATATACCACAACACTATAGCCTGTAATTTCCTACAGATTAATATGCCAAGAAGGTGCCAGTTACTTATTGAAATGTAAAATTCAGATGATTTCACGGGTGTGTGGAGGGAGCTTATGCACATGGGTATATATACATGTGGCTACTTTCTCTCTTATTTTACAGAAGTCCATCGTGGTTTTTTTGTTTGTTTGTTTGTTTGTTTGTTTGAGACGGAGTCTTGCTCTGTCACTCAAGCTGGAGTGCAGTGGCATGATCTCTGCTCACTGCAACCTCCGCCTCCTGGGTTCAAGCGATTCTCCTGCCTCAGCCTCCTAAGTAGCTGGGATTACAGGCACGCGCCAACACACCTGGCTAATTTTTTTTTGTATTTTTAGTAGAGATGGGGTTTCACCATGTTGGCCAGGCTGTTCTCGAACTCCTAACCTCATGATCCGCCTTCCTCGACCTCCCAAAGCACTGGGATTACAGGCTTGAGCCACCATGCCGAGCCTTCATTGTGATGATTAACTTACAAGCTGTCATCACACTGTCATCAAAAACATTTATTAAGTCTCCAAATTGCAAAGTATGTTTTGTCTTTGTAACTTTGTTTATTTACCTTTCTCCCAACTAAATGGTGAGCAGTTTACACAGGTGCTCAACAAATGTATTTCAATGAATGTCTGTCTACAAGAGGTTAACTAATTTGAATTTTTAAAAACAAATTACACAGCACAATAGAAGCATAATAAAAGTATAACAACAATAATGAACCTATAAGAAGGCATTGAAGTTGCTGCCGAGAAAGTCAGGTTCCCGTTCCAGTTCTGCTTCTTAGTTGTTTGACATTGGGCAGGTCTCCATTCTAACATCTATTTCCTCATCTGAAAAATAGAATAACTCATGTTTGCTCTACTTACCCAGGAGACTACTGTAAGAATCAAATGAGTCCATCAATTTTAAGGTGTTGTACAAACAATAAAGTATTTTGCTGATGTTATTATTTCTTTTTGTTGTTGTTGTTTTGAGACGGAGTCTCACTCTGTTGCCCAGGCTGGAGTGCAGTGGTGCCATCTCAGCTCACTCCAACCTCTGCCTCCCGGGCTGAAACAATTATCCTGCCTCAGCCTCCCAAGTATCTGGGACTACAGGCGCCCACCACCACACCGAGCTAATTTTTGTGTTTTTAGTAGAGACAGGGTTTCGCCATGTTGTCCAGACTGGCCTCAAACTCCTGGCCTCAGGTGATCCACCTGCCTCAGCCTCCCAAAGTGCTGAGATTACAGGTGTGAGCCACCGCACCCGGCCTGCTATTATTATTTCAACAGAAAAATTATTTTAGAAGTGGCATGCATTTTACCAGGATGCAAAACATGATTGGGGAAACAGACTCAAGAATTCCAAACCTAGGCAGATTGAGGTCAGGGAAGCTACCTCTCATCTCTTTAGTCTTGAAGTAGTCTAGAAGTAATCTACTCCTGGTCTCTGCTGTTTATTATTTGAGCCTCAGTTTCTTTTTCTTTTTTTTTTTTTTTTTGAGACGAGTCTTACTCCGTTGCCCAGGCGAGTGCAATGGCACGATCTAACTTACTGCAACCTCTACCTCCCAGGTTGAAGTGATTTTCCTGCCTCAGCCTCCTGAGTAGCTGGGATTACAGGCACCTGCCACCATGCCCAGCTCATTTTTGTATTTTTACTAGAGACGGGGTTTCACCGTGTTGGCCAGGCTGGTCTTGAACTTCTGACCTCAGGTGATCCACCCATCTCAGCCTCCCAAAGTGCTGGGATTACAGGCATGAGACATGGCACCTGGATCTTTTTTTTTTTTTTTTGAGACAAGGTCTCTCACTCTTGCCCAGGCTGGAGTGCAGTGGTGTGCAGCTCACTGCAATCTCCGCCTCCTGGGCTCAAGGAATTCTCCTGCCTCAGCCTCATGAGTAGCTGGGACTACATGCATGCACCACCACACCTAACTTTCATATTTTTGGTAGAGACGGGGTTTCACATGTTGGTCAGGCTGGTCTTGAACTCCTGACCTCAAGTGATCCTCCTGCCTTGGCCTCCCAAAATGCTGGGAATACAGGTATGAGCCACCGTGCCTGGCCCTCAGTTTCTTTATATCATTCTCTCTGAGCCTCATTTATGTTATCTGTAACATGGTGATAAAATGTGCCTTGCCACAGAAGGTTTGCTAGGGGGTTCCAATTAGATGATTGTTGCTAAGGTCTCTTTAACAGCTATAAAGTACTGTACAAATGTAAAGAAATTTTGTATGAATTCCCTGAAGGTGATGAACTTTCAGATATAGTTTCAGTAAAGCACAAAGGCTAAGAGTATGGGAGGTTAACATTGGCAGTCACATCCCAGGAAAGAATAGAACATTTTGGTATCTATTATCTTGGGTTGGATTACACATTGCCTTAGAAACTCCATTCTGACAAGGCCTTGCAAAAAAGTAAAATGAAACATAGGCCCTTTCACATACATTGACTCAATAAATCTTCCCAACGCTGTGCCAAGTGGGAATTATGATGCCCATTTGACTGATGGGGAACTGAAGCTTGGAGATGTTGAAACTTACCCAAAATTATGCAACTGGCAAATGGCTGCATAATCTTGGGTAAAACTAATTTCTCCAGCTCCAGCAGAAAAGTTAAGAGCATGCTTACATGAAAAGGAAGAGCTGGCCAGGCGTGGTGGCTCACGCCTGTGATCCCAACACTTTGGGAGGCCGAGGCGAGTGGATCACCTGAAGTTGGGAGCTTAAGACCAGCCTGACCAACATGGAGAAACCCCATCTCTACTAAAAATGTAAAAAAATAAAATAAAATAAAATAAATTATCCAGGCGTGGTGGCGCATGCCTGTAATCGGAAGGCTGAGGCAGGAGAGTCATTTGAACCCGGGAGGCGGAGGTTGCAGTGAGCCGAGATCACGTCGTTGCACTCCAGCCTGGGCAACAAGAACGAAACTCCGTCTCAAAAAAAAAAAAAAAAAAAAGAAAAGAAAAGGAAGCGCTAGTCGGGGGTGGCCTTAAACAAATGGCCCATTTCTCATTCCTCCCTGACACAACTTTCTACTCAAGCCATCAAACCTCTTCTTTTATTTCACAAATACTTCACAAATATGTCTTTTCTCTTCTTTTTTTTTTTTTTTTTTTTTTTTTTTGAGACAGAGTCACACTCTGTTGCCCAGGCTGGAGTGCAGTGGCACAATCTCAGTTCGTTGTAACCTCCACCTCCCGGGTTCAAGCAATTCTCCTGCCTCAGCCTCCCAAGTAGCTGGGATTACGGGCACATGCCACCATGCCCAGCTAATTTTGGTATTTTTAGTAGAGACAGGGTTTCACTATGTTGGCCAGGCTAGTCTCGAACTCCTGACCTTGTGATCCACCGGTCTTGGCCTCCCAACGTGCTGGGATTACAGGCCTAAGCCACTGAGCCCAGCCAATACTTCATATTTCTTACTATGGCTGGGGTGCCCAGAGAAACAACTATGACAACAGGTGGATTTAGGATACAACAGGGTGATGTCTGTGCACAGGCAGGAAGGCTTTTTTTTTTTTTTTTTTTTTTTGAGACGGAGTCTCGCTCTGTCACCCGGGCTGGAGTGCAGTGGCCGGATCTCAGCTCACTGCAAGCTCCGCCTCCCGGGTTCACGCCATTCTCCTGCCTCAGCCTCCCGAGTAGCTGGGACTACAGGCGCCCGCCACCTCGCCCAGCTAGCTTTTTGTATTTTTTAGTAGAGACGGGGTTTCACCGTGTTAGCCAGGATGGTCTCGATCTCCTGACCTTGTGATCCGCCCGTCTCAGCCTCCCAAAGTGCTGGGATTACAGGCTTGAGCCACCGCGCCCGGCTAGGAAGGCATTTTTACCAAAGCGGAGTGTGATCAATGTTCACAGCTGTGGCAGCCTGCTCCCCTGAAAGATCTTTAATTGGAGAAGAAGTGGCTATGGACAGCTTCACTCTGACCCTGTTAAAAATGCCCAGTTCCTAAGTCACATCCCAATTCTACACATAGACTCAAGGGTCTGCAGAAACACCCATTACTCTCCCACCTCACTCCTCATAAATATGTTCATCCTACGGCCTAGGAGAGTCAAGAGTAGTCCGTCAGACACAAAGACACTAGTGGTCTCTTTATGTATAAATCTTTTTCACCACCTAGAATTCTTCCTTCATTATTTTGTGTCTCTTCCCTCAATTTAAAATCTAATTTTAAAAAATCTAATTCAAATATCAAAAATTAGAAACAGCCCCAATGTACATCAATTTGGAGACCAATTTGGCTGGTTGTGGTGACTCACACCTGTAATCCTAGCACTTTGGGAGGCTGAGACAGGTGGATCGCTTGAGCCCAGGAGTTTGAAACCAGCCTGAGCAACAGGGTGAAACTCCGACTCTACAAAAAAAATACAAAAATTAGCTGGGTGTGGTGGCACACACCTGTAGTCTCAGCTAATCAGGAGGCTGAGGCGGGAGGATACTTTGACCTCAGGAGCCGGAGGTTGCAGTGAGCTGAGATCATGCCACTGCACTCCAGCCTGAGAAACACAACGAGACCCTGTCTCAAAAAAAAAAAAAAAAAGGAGACTAGTTTAAATAAATAATGAGAATGCACATTCAAACAACAGACTATTAAATAGTTATTCAAAAGAGCAAAGTAGGCAGGGCATGGTGGCTTACACCTGTAATCCCAACGCTCTGGGAGGCCAAGGCAGGAGGATCACTTGAGGCCAGGGTTTGAGACCAGCCTGGGCAACATAGGGATATCCCATCTCTATAAAAATTTTAAAAATTATTTGGGCATGGTGGCACACCCCTGTAGTCCTAGCTACTTGGAGGCAGGGGCAGGAGGATCCCTTGAGCCTAGGAGTCTGGGGTTACAGTGAGCTATAATTGCACCACTGCAATCCAGCCTGAGCGATAGACCAAGGCCCTGTCTCTTTAAAAACAAAACCAAAAATAGATGTAGCAAGACTGCCAAAATACAATGTTAAGTGAATTAGTAAAGGGAAGAGCAAAGTGTATAGTATGTTCCAATTTTTATAAAAGATAAAAATTAAATATAGGCTTACAGTGGCACAAAAAGCTCTAGAATACACAAGAACTGTTAAGAATGGCTGACTCTGGTTAAGGAGACAGTTTTTTTTTTTTTTTTTTTGAGACAGAGTCTCGCTCTGTCGCTCAGGCTGGAGTGCAATGGCGCCATCTCAGCTCACTGCAAGCTCTGCCTCCCGGGTTCACGCCATTCTCCTGCCTCAGCCTCCCGAGTAGCTGGGATTACAGGCGCCCGCCACCACACCTGGCTAATTTTTTGTATTTTTAGTAGAGACAGGGTTTCACCGTGTTAGCCAGGATGGTCTCAATATCCTGACCTCATTATTCACCCTCCTCAGCCTCCCAAACTGCTGGGATTACAGGCGTGAACCACCGTGCCCAGCCGAAGGAGACACTTTTCATTGCATGCCTTTAGTGCTGTTTGAATTTTACCATGGCATATATTACTAATTCAATTCAAACGAAACAAAACAACTTTAACTAAACATGTTTTTCTATCAAAAGCTTTACTTGTCCACCCTACTTCCTAAATATCTCCCAAATCTGATTACCACCCGCTTCCCACTGCCTCTGCCCCAACCCAACTACAGGAGTGGACCGTGCTTTGCTCCTGAATTCCAAAATCTCAGGGGCATGTTTTCCTTTAAAACATAATTGTTTAAAAAGAATAGCACCTGGTTATCCAGACTATTTGTTAAACTGAAAACTATCAAAAGGCATATTACCAGTCACACCTGCCTGCAAGCTCTATCCTGCATTACAGAGCTGTTTGAAGGTCAATTTTGAGTTGTTTGCCCTGAGTGCCAACATTGCTACTCATGGTTTTGCCTCTACAGGTTCAGGCCATCAACCTCTCTCTCTTCAACGACTGCAACAGTCTTCTAATTAGTGTCACTAACTCTACTGTTTCGTATGCCCACACTGCAATCAGAGTGATCTGAAATTTTAAATCTGGCTTGGCGTGGTGGCTGACACCTGTAATCCCAACACTTTAGGAAGCCGAGGCGGGCATATCACCTGAGGTCAGGAGTTCAAGACCAGCCTGGCCAATATGATGAAACCCCATCTCTACTAAAAATACAAAAAAAAAAAAAAAAAATTAGCCAGGCATGGTTGTGGGCGCCTGTAATCCCAGCTACTCGGGAAGCTGAGGCAGGAGAATTGCTTGAACATGGGAGGTGGAGGTTGTAGTGAGTCGAGATCGCGCCATTACACTCCAGCCTGGGCAACAAGAACAAGACTCTGTATCCAAAAAAAAAAAGTAAAATTTAAAATCTGATATAGTCCCCACTGCCCTTGAGTTAGAGTCCACCTTCTTTAACATGGTTTACAGGGCCTCTGTGATCCTAGCCGCTTCTTTCTTTAGCCTTGTCCTTCCTCTCCATTCCCCTTATAGACACCTCAGGGCCGCCCCATGCTCTAAACTCCAGCCATACTGCATGCTGTTTGCTCTTTAGGGATCCCCACTATTCCACAGCTTGACAGCAGAGCAGTGACCAAAATATATGCTCAGGGAGGCCAAAGAGATGAAGCTGCAGCTGCTTTTTTTTTGTTTTGTTTTTTTGTTTTTTTTTTTTTTTTTTTTTTGAGACAGTCTCATTCTATTGCCCAGACTGGAGTGCAGTGGTGCAATCTCGGTTCACTGCAACCTCCACCTCCCAGGTTCAAGCAATTCTCATGCCTCAGCCTCCCGGGTAGCTGGAACTATACAGGTGCACCATCACGCCCAGCTAATTATTTTTTGTATTTTTTTTGTAGAGATAGGGTTTTGCCATGTTGGACAGTCTGGTCTCGAACTCCTGGCCTCAGGTGATCCACCCAGCTCGGCCTCCCAAAGTCCTGAGATTATAGGCGTGAGCCACTGCGCCCAGCCAGGCTTGCTTCTCTGAGCCATACCCTTCTCCTGTTGGAACAAGCATCCTTTCCATTAAAAAGCAATAAATCTCCTCTTAAGTGGCAGATGGTTAAGACTGTTACTTTTGCTTTCAGCAATCCTCTAGAAAAAGAACAAACTTTAAGATTGAGAACTAACTTCTAGCAGCTATGCAGAAGTTGAGAGGCGACTCGTATTCTTTACATCAAGACCTCCACAAAGGCCCCTTCTGTCATGGAGTCAAAATTCTAGTGACCCAGGTTCATCCTCAAATGTGTAATGGCTTTCCAAGCCTACTTGGAAACCTGTAAATCACTTGGACTTCACTTCCCCTCCCACCCTGGGTCCTCCACCCCACCTTGCTTTGGTTTTGCTTGGGGAGAGAGTGGTCTCTACCCAATATGTCTCTCTCCCTATCAGTCTGCAGGATGCTCAGCAGGGGCACTCCCTGAACATACCTGCTCCCACAGCATGTGCAAAGGCTTCACACTTGGATTGAGGGTTATACATTTCTTCATGGACATCCCCAGACAACACAGAACAGAGACAAGGTTTTGTGGTCCTTTTGGAATGTCCACACCATTCCCATTCTTCAAAATCTGTCACACTTCCAGATAGCTCCAGTGAACAATGAACTCTCCCCCATGCAGTAGCAGTTGATTATTCGATTTTAACACTGAATTATATATTCTCTTGAACTGTTCTCTAACAACTATGAGGCATTTTCAATGGAAGTTGAATGGAAAAATATAAAACTGGGAGTAAAAAGATCTGGCTTCTAGGCCAGGCGCAGTGGCTCATGCCCGTAATCCCAGCACTTTGGAAGGCTGAGGCGGGTGGATCACCTGAGCTCAGGAGTCCGAGACCAGCCCGGGCAACATGGTGAAACCCCTGTCTCTACTAAAAATAGAAAAACTAGTCGAGCGTCATGGCAGGTGCCTGTAATCCCAGCTACTCGGGAGACTAAGGCATGAGAATCGCCTGAACCTGGGAGGCGGAGGTTGCAGTGAGCCGGAATCAGGCCATTGCACTCCAGCCTAGGCAACAGAGCGAGACTCTGTCTCAAAAAAAAGCTCTGGCCTCTCAAGAGGCCACCACTAACTCTCTGTGTAACCTTGAGCAAGCCAACGTTCTGGGCCTCAGTGCTCCCCACAGAGTAAGAGGAGGACTGCCGATCTCTAAGGATCTTCCATGGTCTATGGGTTTATGACTCGAAACCCCTCAAAGTGCAGGAACACAAGCCACATCCCTTCTCAAGGCCAGACACATACTAGGAGCTCTATTAATACCTAAATAAAAACCACGGATGAAGAGCTTGCCTGGCCCTGGCCTTTCTTTTTTTTTTTTTTTTTTTTTTTTTGAGACTGAGTCTGGCTCTGTCGCCCAGGCTGGAGTGCAGTGGCCGGATCTCAGCTCACTGCAAGCTCCGCCTCCCGGGTTTACGCCATTCTCCTGCCTCAGCCTCGGAGTAGCTGGGACCACAGGCGCCCGCCACCTTGCCCGGCTAGTTTTTTGTATTTTTTAGTAGAGACGGGGTTTCACCGTGTTAGCCAGGATGGTCTCGATCTCCTGACCTTGTGATCCGCCCGTCTCAGCCTCCCAAAGTGCTGGGATTACAGGCTTGAGCCACCGCGCCCGGCGGCCCTGGCCTTTCTATACCAAACCAACACGCCACGGATCATTGGGTCTTCCCTGGGACAGACCCTCAGAGCCTGCAAGTGATTCTACAACTTCACTGGTACAGATCTATTATTCCTTAGCTTAGACTTCCATCTCTCCAGATGAACCTTCAGGAAAACTAGGAAACTATCAATAATGATTTCAATTGCCGGCTTCAAATTAACCTTATTTCTCCTACCCCAGTACACCTTTTTTGGTGGCAGCACTTAGATTCTCATTCAGAAAACAAACACATTCATGTTGTACCAGTGATTTGTTGGGGAAACTGCCTCGGCCCCACCACCCGGATCCCTCATGTTCCTACCAAGTAAGCCAAGTGACCATGCGAAGAACTGACTGACACCCAGAGGAAACTAATAAACAAAAACAAATAAAAGCAAATACCTTTCCAGGAATCTCACTTGGAAAACCAAGTATAATGGCAAAAAACAAAACACACAAAAAACAACAACAACAAAAAAAAAAAAAACCCTAATGTTTTCAGCGTTGGGGATGTTGGGGGTGTAGACATCTCGAGAGCTGGTTTCCGAAGGCACCGCACCCCACACAATGTGCTACAAGAGCCTCCCGGCTGCTGTGTCAATGAAGCCTTTCAGGCCCTCCACACTGCTTCACTTGTTCCCTAAAGTAGTGCTTTCTGGAAGCTAAACTCTCAGCTGGCGAGAACAGTGAACTCTGTGCCATTTGTCTATCAACTCCTTTAAAAAGAAAAACCGCCTGTACGGCTGTCTTGCTTTGCATTTTCTATTCTGCACTCCAGTACGCCTAACGACACACAGAGGAGGCAAGGCGCTCTTTTAACACCGTGAAGAAAGAAGAAATTTGAAAGCACCCAGAAGCCTCTGCTTTCAGCTATTAGAGAAAAGTTTGCATCCCATAGAAACCAGCACTAATTAAAAAAAAAATATATATCAGTCCTCAGCCCTGGGAATCAACAATAAGGGACTCTTCAGGGTATGGAGTAACAAAAAAATTCAAAAACAAAAAATAAACATGCACAGCCCATCTATCTTTTCCCAATCAAATAATACAGCCTTCCAAAATGTAAAAATAGAAATATTTTCACACGTGAATTTTACCTCAATAAAGTAATTTTTTAAAAACCTTTTTAGCTGGGCACAGTGGCTCACGCCTGCAATCCCAGCCCTTTGGGAGGCCGAGGCGGGCGGATCATGAGGTCAGGAGTTCAAGATCAGCCTGGCCAAGATGGTGAAACCCCCATCTCTACCAAAAATACAAAAAATTAGCCAGGCGTGGTGGTCCACACCTGTAATCCCAGCTACTCGGGAGGCTGAGGCAGGAGAATCGCTTGAACCCAGGAGGCAGAGGTTGCATTGGGCTAAGACTGAGCCACTGCACTACAGCCTGGGCAATAAGAGCGAAACTCCATCTCAAAAAAAAAAAAGAAAAGAAAACAGGAAGTGTCTTCCATAATTCCAAATACAGTATTGTTAAATATTAATGTATTATGTCCAAATAGTTCAGTGAATTTCAAGTTTTCATCCAGATGAGTGGAGTTCTTCAAATTCATTCAACTAATAAATATTCCTTGAGCATCTACTACATGCTAGGCATTTTTACAAGTAACAACAAAAGTAGACAAAAATTGCTGTCTTTATGGACTCTGTATTCTAGTAGAGGGCAGAAAAGTCAGTGACCAATAAAAGCCAGTGACCAACACTTGCATTTTTTAGATGACTTATTCTTGGGTATTTAAAAGAGATCTTGGGCCGGGTGCAGTGGCTCACAACTAATCCCAGCACTTTGGGAGGCCGAGATGGGCAGATCACGAGGTCAGGAGATCGAGACCATCCTGGCTAGCATGGTGAAACCCCGTCTCTACTAAAAATACAAAAAAAAATTAGCCAGACGTGGTGGCAGGCGCCTGTAGTCCCAGCTACTCGGGAGACTGAGGCAGGAGAATGGCATGAACCTGGGAGGCAGAGGTTGCAGTGAGCCGAGATTGCGCCACTGTACTCCAGCCTGGGCGACAGAGCAAGACTCCGTCTCAAAATAAATAAATAAATAAATAAATAAATAAAAGAGATTTTGGACCGAGCGGTGGCTCGTGTTGCAGTGAGCTGAGATTGCGCCATGGCACTCTGGCTTGGGCAACAAGAGCGAAACTCCATCTGAAAAAAAAAAAAAGATCTTGAAAGGAAGTTAAAAAATTATACGAGTCTGTTATTTTCCTAGTTTTTCTCCACTCCAAAGAAAGATACACCTAATTGGTATTCCTCACCACTACAACAATCAGGACCACTGGAGTGAGAGGGAAAGAAACTATACAAGGATGTGTTTAAAGCTCATTACTTAAACAAAATGAAAACATAAGATCCAAAGAGTTCTTTTTATATTTGTTTAAGAGCTTCAGAAAGGCTGGGCAGGCTGGCACATGCCTGTTGTCCTAGCTACTTGGGAGACTGAGGCAGGAGGATAGCTTAAGCCCAGGAATTTGTATCCACCCCGGGCAACATAGTGAGGCCTCATTTCAAAAAAAAAAAAGGAAAGAAAAAAGGGTTTTAGAAAATATAATCTGATGCAACAGATTATAGAGTTTTGCATTTTTAAAAAAATAGATCTAACTGATAAGACAGCAAAAAATGAATATGCGGAACCCAGCAATTTCATTCCACATACACACTGGAACAGTAATCAGCAAACATTTTCTGCATAGAATTAGATATCAGATATTTTAGGCTTTGAACACCAGCCAGTCTCTGTTACAACTACTCACTAGGCCTGAAAACAGCCTTAGGTAATATATAAATGCATGAGCATGGCTGTTCCAATAAACTTATATGCACTTGATTTCTGTGTCATAAAATTATCTTTATCTTTGAGAGGTGCCTGTAGCCAGGCTGGAGGCATGCGATCTCACTTGCAAGCTCCTCCGGTTCACCATTTCGGCTCAGCTCCGATACTGACACAGCGCCCCCCCCGCTAGTTTTTGTATTTTTAGAGACGGGTTCACCGTGTTATCCAGAATCTCTCTCCTGATCACCCCGCTCCCAGTGCTTTACAGCTGACCCGCCCGCTAGTTCCATTTAAAAGCCATTCAGAAATGTAAAAACCACCTTAGTGTCCGGGTCATACAAAAAAAAGGTGGAAGGTCCACAGGCCAGACCACGGTTTGCCAATCCCTGCTTTAAAGGACTCTTACAGGCCAGGCACAGTGGCTCACGCCTGTAATCCCAGCACTTTGGGAGGCCAAGGTGGGCAGATCACATGAGGCCAGGAATTC